CACCAGGGTGTTCAAAGATGCTTACACATTAAAAAGGTCACGTGCATGAGGTACTATAATGAAAAAGAGAACAGCTGGCATACAATAGCTGCTAAAAAGATGAAAAAAAAACGGTTTCTGAGGATCATATATATATATATATATATATATATATATATATATATATATATATATATATATATATATACAGGGCCGGTTCTGCCTTGCATGCGAAGCCTTAGGGGGCGCCAAAGCGAGTTTCGGAAATTAAATTTATAATATAATATTTATATTTTTTTATATAAAATCTAGAATTATTTATTTGGAATCTAGAATACTTAATAAATTATAATAAATAATTTAACTTAACTAGGGATACGGAGACACAAAATGCATATTTATTTTGCAATGTGATTAGTAGAAACAATTAACCGATTAATAATTCTGCAAATTAGTAAATAACAGCTCTGTTTATTGCTTAATTTACTTATTCAATTTTTTCTTTGTTTGAAGTTACCGTGGAATCGAAAAAGAAATTATCTAGTGTTCAATCCCATAAGCGCAAATCTGCGAAAGATTAAATTAATTGTTGGGGCATTTTTGACGAAAAATTGCGAGCTAATTCAGTTGAATCGGAACTTGTTAAAAAATATAAACAAATTATAAAAAATGGGGGATCAGTGCTTAGAAAATGACTTGTTTATTCAGAGAAAATGAATTGTAACTTTTGCTTTTGTTGCAAATGTTTCGCATCTGTTGAACTTTGAATGTTGAAGACGTGCGTGGAACAAATATGAAAAATGGAAGCAAAATTTACTTTGGAACGAAAATCTTAAGGTTTGTTTTATACCTAGTGGTGTCCATACTCTAAGTTTAATAATTATTAACTATACAGAAATAATACATATCAAATATAAGAAGTTTTTTTTCAATATTGTTCAAGAAATGTGTAATTTCTTTGCATTTTTTACTGATTTTTTAACAATACTTCTAAAATACATTCAAAATTTAACTTTAAAACAACAAGCAGATACTCTGAATATGACGGCTCTTACGATATCAGTAAGAAGAAGTTTACGACGCAATTTTGGATATTGTAAATGATGAAAAATTAAATTAAATTAAAATTTAAACAAACGTGAAATACGAGTGTTATGTTTGAAAATTAAATGCTAGTTTTTTTAAATATGTATTAATATTGCACATACGTTAAAAATAATTAAAAATTTCAAAATACTTGATTATAATCAACCCCCGAATGGCCTCGATTTTCTAAATAAATTTAAATTCGATATATTTTATACGCTTTTAGATTATATCTAATTTTTTGTGCACTAAATCCAGAATAATTAAAAATTAATTTATTTATTTCACTTAACATTTTTGTTAAATTAAATTTATAGAATTTAAGAAATGCATTTCAGAAATAGTATTTATTATTTTGATATCAAGATCTTTATATCAAAATAATAAATACTATTTCTGCAATGCATTTCTTAAATTCTATAACTTTAAATAACAAAAATATTAATTCTTTTGCTATGGTAGTCGAATATACGGTAGTTGAATATTACTAAAATGTGAAATTATGACAGGGATTGTTTTATTTATTGATATCGATAATAATAAATAAATTTAAAACCCATATATTTTATACCTTTCTAGATTATATCTAATTTTTTGTGTACTAAATCCAGAATCAAGAAAAATTAAATTTGAAAAAATATGTAAATATTTATATAATTTTAATGATAAACTGTTAAAACGGTGAAAATTAATAGGGGGGGGGGGGCGCTAGAAAAAAAGTTGCATGCGGGCGCTAAGGACCCCAGGACCGGCCCTGTATATACATGGTCTGTTCAAAAAGTACCCGGAATTACTAATAATTAAATTTCGCGGGTCTGGAGTGTCTGATTGTCAAAATTTTTTTTTTATTGTGTTGGTATACATGCCCCTAAAGTATGATGAAATTTTCAGCTATATTCACTGTTTACTTTGTCTGTGGTAGTCGCTAAGGTTCGACGTGTTTTTCTGAGCTCGGCGATTTTTACAATGGAAGAATTGAAAAGTCAAAGAATTTGTATTAAATTTTGCGTAAAAAATGAAATAAAGTGTTGCAAAGTGCAAAAATTCACCAGATATGGCTCCGTGTGACTTTTTCCTATTCCCAAAGTTGAAGAGACCCATGAAAGGACGGCGGTTTTCCTCGATTGAAGAAAATCGCCGAGAGTGCTCAAGGACATATCAAAAAGTGAATATCAAGGGTGCTTCGAAAATTGGAAAAAACGCTGGCATAAGTGTATTATATCTGGGGGGGACTACTTTGAAGGGGACCACATTAATGTAGACGAATAAATAAATATTTTTTTGAAAAAACGAAAATTACGAAAACTTTTTGAACAGACCTCGTATATATATATATATATATATATATATATATATATATATATATATACTTCGTCAAAAAAATATATATTGAGATGATTTTTTTTTTAAATAATTCTAAGGTTATTAGCTTTCATAATATCAAAAACACTAACTTGCCCGCCTATAGGGTTAAAAGGTCTAGATAACAAATTTTTGAAAGACATCAAAAAAGCACACTTCTACAATGATAAAGTAGAAGGCAGTTTACTGAACGTAGTCAGGTAATTGTTCGTTTGATATGTGTTATTTGTTGTGATATAATTGTTATGCTTTCCACAATATAGTTTATATTTGCTCAAAGTCAAATTGGATCTCGCATTACTCTACATACATACTTTTTATTAAATTTACTTTAATTGATCGAATGTTACTTGAAAATTTTCAAGAAGCAGGTCAAAGAAGAAATGCTTAATTCATTTCCTATCTCTCCTCGCAAAAATTTGAAAATTTTATATAAGCTCAGTAGTATTATTTACAATTATACACAAAATCCAGAATCCAAAGAGAATCTGAAAAATTTGAAACGTAATCAATAAGTCGAAGGACCAAAAAAGACTTGAATGGATTATACTATGTTTTCTATAGAAAGTGTATAAAACTTCCCGTTTGATTGTATTGACAAAATATAAATAAACTGATGGGGTTTATTTTTTTTATAATACTTCATTGTATATAGCATTCAAACAATACATCCTTATACACTTAAAGTATTAATTTTTTTGATTCTCTAGAAATTGTTTAAAATATACCTTACTTAGCAAAACAACGTTTGCTGGGTCAGCTGGTGTGTAATAAATACACTCGGAATACTTTTAAACACTCATAAATTAATTAATGTTTTATTAATTAAGTCAATTATTTACACATATCGAGAAGTTCATGTAACTTGCCTCAAGGCTAAATACCAAACCAACTAGTTAAGTTAAAGTTAGAGGGCATAAGTAAAAAAGGCGATTTTAAGAGAGAATTCGATTTAGGAGTAGGATAATTAAAAAATAATTGTGAACACGAAGATAGCCTGGGAACAATAAAGGATAATTGGTTAACAGTCTATAGCATTATTGCAAAGTTTAAATAATTTCCATCAGATAAATCGACGTGTGACAAGAGAATGTATACCAAATTCTTTATATTTCTGTTTCCTTTACAAGATCTCCTTTTCTATTTTAATAACTCCCATTACAATTTCTATAAACCGGATTATTCTAATCTTGCAGGAAAATTTTAAATATCTTTCTTAAGTTTGTTAAGGAAATTTTTTAGGATATATGTGATTATAAAAAATAGTAATATTGTAGAAATACATGGAAACATTTGCAAAAAACGACATGTCATTGTTGACATTGAAAATAGTTTGACAAATGGAACTGTCATCTGCCAGAAATTTCAATTCACTTATGAACCTAGACAATATTATAATATATTTATGATTTTGAATAAGAAAAATGTAATGTTTACATTATTATTGCTGAAAAGCAGCCGAGATGTGCTAAATATTAAAATAATATAAGATAAAGTATATATGTTGGCAGATGAAATATTATAATTCAATTTCACAGATTTTTTTTTACTAATGCAGCCGTGTTTTGCCTTACTTTACTAAATCCCAATACAATAAAATTTACTTTAAAAAACTATGTAGAAGTGTCAATGTGTCAAAAATTCATTTGTTTGGCATGGAGCGTTTAGGGTCTGATTTTTTTTACTATGCTCCAATTTGCATTAAATTTTGGAATAAGGTTCATCTTACTCGCAAGTCCAAAAGTGGACCTGCCTTGGCCAAACACTAATCAGCACATCTCCGTATAAATAAGAATCGAATGATTCATATCGGTAGATCCGTGTTCTCAAAATCGTCGAAAAAATTACGTTTGTGTATAATTTTCAACATGCATTAAATTCAGGAATGTGATTGATTGAATTCATTTGCTGATCAATTTGATTGAATTGATTGATTGAATTCATTTGATAAAACTTGATAACGATTCATATTAATTAGTTTTATGCAACAATCATCTTTGCATTTCATTATAATAAACAGAGAAGTCAATATTTTTGCCTGTGTCAAAAATTTTTATCCAATTTGTGAGGAACTTTTCAAAAGATATCAATTGAGATTCTTGACGATTAGGCTCTTGTAAAGTTCAATTTTGATTAAATTTTGAATAGCGATAGACTTTATGGTCTCAAGCCAATAGTGAGGATGCCTAATTATAAAAATTCTTTAAAATTTGGTATAAATGGATACACACCAAGCATGTTTTAAGCATGCGTTGTGCAGTTGAATTGACAAATGCTTACAATCACACATTATTATATAACATTATTAATTACATATTACAGGAAGTTCACACATTCAAACTTTTAGGGTAAATTGCCACTAACTGCTAGTATTATATTCTATGTATTGTATTTTACTTTTAAATTTCTTTCTAAAACTGCAATATTTTTCCTCACAATTCTTCTGTTTTAATTTTCAGAAATAAATTCATACAATAAAATAATAAATAAATATTTGTTTTTAATATTTTGAATTATTAAGAAAATTTCAAATGACAAAAAAAATAATAATTTTGTACATATCTTTTACTTACATTTCTGCCAAAGTTGCTTCTGCACCATTCGAAATATTTTCATTTTCAACTCCCGTTTTGATTTTTTTCGTTGAAGTTTGTTCAATACTTTCTACTAGTAAATCACCAGATAACTTTCTTTTTTTTTTACCTACAGTTTCTAAATTTGCTGGCAAATAGCTTTGATAATAATGTCTGAGTACTGAATAAATATTTACAGATACACATCGTGCTCTTTGCTCCTCTGATAAATTTAAAGCTAATATTCCTTGCTGTTGAGGCAAGTTTCCAGGATGCATATGTATTAATGCACCAGTAGTATTCTCACCAATTAAACTCATAATAGCAGCCGGTAATAAACCATTTGTACCTGACTCATATAAAAGAAAAGATCCCAAACTATTAATATTTGCATAGCATAGTAGTTGAGCTAATGAATCATTTCTTAAACCTAAAACTTTAGAAGGATCTTGTCTATAAAATATTTCAGTAATCAAGCGAATAGTAGGTTTGCGAATTAGCAAATATTCAAAATACTTTTTTTCTTTTTTCTTAATATATTTTTCCTGTGAATATTCAGTTTTGCTTGCAAAAGTTTTAGAGTTCTCTATTAATTGAGACACAATTTCTGTGCTACTACAATCATTTTCTTTTAAACGAGATATGTCTTCAGTACTCAATGTTTGTGACTGCCCATCATCTAAAACAAAACATGTGAAGTATAAAAACAGTTTTAGAATAGAAATTTTATTTACATGTAGTAACAATAGACCTCGTATATTTCGATTGTCAGCGCCTGATTTCCTATCAAGAAACCCTTCTTTTAAATCATGAATATTTTTGCAATGCTCCAAAGTATAAATTCTTTTTTTTTTATCTTTGGGTATCATTTTGAACGACGAAAAATATGGAAAACCGTTTATATTTTGCAGTTTTATTTGATCTTTTCCTAGCATTGATGTACTATCACCAGTAGTAAACTTGTGTAATTTTGTGTAATCTTGCCTTTGTATGATAATATAATCTCCATGTTTAATTATTTGATTAGCAGGAAAATTAAAAGTATCTTCCATAATCAATAAGTTTATAAATGTCGAACACAAAATTTCACCTAAATTATCTTGTTATTGAATTATTAATAATTTGAGGTTACCTTCAACCCTAGACAATATTACAATAAAGACAGAAGAGAGAAGTATCAACAGAGGGCCTTTTCACTCAGTGCAAAATCCTCGTTCAAAAACCGTGTTTCGTGGTATCCACATCTAGGTGATAATTTGGCGCTAGTGCGCCGATACCAAGTGACAGGTTGATAATTCTCTAGCTGTCTCTAGCATTAAGCGGCCATTTTGATCGTGGTTGTTATTGTGTTTTGTGACTGTTTGTTAAAGGTTGTTGTGTATAATTGTTTATAAAGTTTTAATTGTTGTTTATACAAAAAGTATGACTCTTAATTGCAGAAGAAGTGTAGTGTATATAATAGAAAGTATAGAATTTATGTAATACATAATGTAGTGTACTGTGTATTACGCTTGATAAAATGAAAGGTGCGATTAATTCATTAAAACCATTATTATTGCTTCAGTCAATGCCTTATGCTAGTCTAGCTTAAATGAAGATATTCTAACTTCGTCTAATGTGAATACTCAAGACTGTATTTTAATTCATTTTGTTATCATTAGATATCGTATTTCTGAATCATGTATTATAATTTGTTAATGACATATAGACCAAGAGCCCGTGGGCGGATGACAGTATGTATTTTACGACACCTGAGATTTTGTGCATCGATTCCTCTATACCTATCCTACATGAAATGGGGACTGACTAAGCCCAAAGTGGCGGACACAGCTACTGCGCAGCTGGTAAAGGTACCTTTTTTTCGCCCATATCCGAACCATTTTACGACGGTTGCCGTTTCGAAAATTTGAAAATATAATATTATTACTATCGTAAAATACCAATGGCAGACGATTATCGCGCGGTTAACATGGTGGCAGACGATTTTGAAAATGCAGAAAAAAATTTTTTTTGAAAGTATTTTACGATGTCTGCCATTTACATATTTTATTCCTTATAGTATCAAAACCTTATATTTATCACGGCAGACGTGTACCTGGTGGACCAACATCAGCAGAGGTAAAAAAACTCAGCTACATTTGGCCTGATAGTATGCATAAATCTCCATGTTTTATACCGATATAAGCAATTCTTTCATAATGATAATAGAAATTAATATTTGTTAGTTTATATGTGACATTTAATAATGTTGATGAGCGGAAAAAAGATTTTTTACGCTAAATTTGTAAAGATTAAAGTATACAAACGATAACAACAATTATTGTAATATTTATTCTATTTTTTATTTATTTTAGTCTAATTTCAAAATATTGTATAAAAATAAAGTTATACAATATTATATATATATATATATATATATATATATATATATATATACTTTCTTTATTTATTATAATCTCGGAGCCATATCTCGCTTTTGATGATTCCTCATCATCCGCTGAATCAGATTCTATAAAATAATAAATCAGATGTAAAATAAAAATTATTTGAAAATCCAACTGAAGATGTTTGATAAAGACGAGATTCTCCGACCATACTTAAAAAATTAAGCTGAATAGTATTAAAAAGATATTGCATGTGGGTTCTTTGTTAAGTGTAGCAAACATTTGTTGAAGATCGATTTTTTTCAGAGAATTGTAAGGTCTTTTTTTTGTTAAAGAAGGCTGGATTGAAATCACAACCAGTAAAAGCATGACAACAAATTGAAATTCTGGCAAACAACTAACCAGTTCACTTCGTGATGTTAATATATCTCTGGTTATTTTCAACCCCATTTAGCATCCAAATATTTGAATTACTATATTTCTTAGTTATGTCATATTACCAATTCATATTACCAATATTATACTGATATTTTGCAGTATCGAAGGCTCTAATAGGAATATTGCAACGATATGCTCAGCGATGTTACGCGCGTGATTGATAATGTTTGTGTCAGGTTCTTCATGTGAAGTACAACAAAAATCTTCAACAACACACGATTAGACATTTGTGATTATCATTGTAAAATTGACAGTCTCAGAAATTCAAATAAATTAACAAAATTTAAATAAAAAATATCGATCTTCAACAAGGGTTTGCTACACTCGGTTTAGCAAAAAAGAAAATTTAACAGGAAACCACCTAAGATATTTGCCAAATATATAATGCAAAAAGACCTAATGACGTGGTTCTTGGACGGTACAAACTATTCATTAATAACTATAAAGTTTACAACGTCAATGAACAATTCAGCAGAAAAAATTCTAAATTTTGGTGCAAGTTCAATCTCGTGTTTTATCAACAATTTTTAAGAGCCCACTATAACTATATTAGGAATAATATCTATAACAAGCAACCAACATTGTTGGGCGCATTAAAGTATGGTAGGAGAATCTCGTCAGTTGGATTTTCAAATAATTTTTATTTTACATCTGATTTATTATTTTATAGAATCTGATTCAGCGGATGATGAGGAATCATCAAAAGCGAGATATGGCTCCGAGATTATAATAAATAAAGAAAGTATATATATATATATATGAGTGAGTTCTTGAGGGCGATACATCAAACAAAGAAAAGCCAAAGATTTATAAAATAATCTTTATTTCCAAACGTTTCGACATTCAATTTAATGTCATCATCAGTGGATCTAAAAACAGTATGAAAATTAGCATATCTAGGTAATTATAATATATGTGGATTGGTAAAGTAACTGTACAATAAGAGAAAAATTAACAAATAGCAACACTTAACAACAAATCAAATATAAAAGATAGGAAAGGTAGTAGAGACTAGAATTAAATAAATAATTAAAAAGTATAGGCAAAAATATTTAAGTACACTCATATAAACTTACGCATATATACATATATGTACGTACACATATACACACATATACATATACACAATATACATATATATATATATATATATAACATGCATATATCCATATACACACACATACAAACATATAATACACATATACATATACAGATACAACAATATATACCTATATATGTACACATATACATGTAAGACTATACACATATAAATATACGTATATACATATATGCAACGTGCATGCATATTCACAACGACGTACATGTACATGTATGAACCATATATATACTCATACCTATCTATGTAACTATAGCTATACACGTATACACATACATATACGTATAAACATGTATATACACACATATACACACATATATATATATACATATATATACATACATATATATATATAATACACACAATACATATATATACATATGTACATAAATGCTCACAAATATATATATATATATATTATACATATATATATATACATATATATATACACATACACATATATATACATATACACATATATATACATATATATATATATACATACACATACATACATGCATATATACGTATATATAATTACATGTATACACATATAAATATGCACATACATACAAACATACATGTAAATAAGCAATATACATATTATACATACATACATACAAATACATATATTATATATATATATATATATAATATATATAAAACATACAATATATGTAAACTCGTATATATGTAAAGCGAACAAATTATTTATGAAGATGGATAATACATATAAAATACAAGTGGACTTACATTACGTTGGTTAGTTACATATAGAGAAGTGTACACAGCACTAGAGATTTGGCACTAACATTTATACAACTAACTTGTCAGCACTATGCATTTTTTTATATATAATTTTTTTGTATGATGTAAACAGAAAAATGATAGTTTTATTGAACAAAAATGTAAGTAGAATTATGTAATTTCTGCCACGACTTCTGTACTTTGCTAGTACCGAGGCATGTATGAAAGTCACCACATGTTTTGAGAGATTTTTAAGGGTCATTCAGGATTGTTATGGGCGGGTAGGTAGAAAATAGTCGGAAGTTGAAACTAGTAATGTTAGGCTAGGTTTGGTATGGTTAGAATTAGGAGAAAAAAAAATGGAAATATTATTTAGTATTACTAAGTAGTTATACTAATAACTCAAAAATCTAAATAAAAAAAATTTTTTAAGGTTTATTCAAAATTTGCTATGTATGGGTAGGTAAAGCTCGGGTATCAAGGCCGAAGTTAAACTAGGAAGTGTTGGCAAGGTTAGTAAGGTCAATTAGTTTTGTTCAGAGGAGATAAATTGGAACATTATTTAGTATTACTTGGTAGTTATCGCAGAGTAAGGAGGAATCCGATCTTTTGTTCACCACGTGGTCACATATTGATATGAAACAAGATTCTGCAAAACGTCTCTGAATGGTGTTCCGTTCATGGTAGAGAATACTGGCATTATAAAAGTTAAAGGAGTGTTTGAAATTTTTTATGTGTTCTGTTATCATAGTTTGGTTTTGGTTGGGGTTTTTTCGAATTATTGTCGTGTTGTTTGAGTCTTTTTATTAAATTTTGTCCGGTTTCACCTATGTAAGTAGAAGGGCAATCATTGCAATTTATTTTGTAAACAATGTTGGAAGTACGTTCTATACTAGTGGGAGAGATTCAGGTTTGTGTAGAGGGATTTAAGAGTTAGATCTATGTTGCAGGTTAGTCTGATGTCTACCTTATGAAAAGTTTTTTCCACACTGGAAAAAGTTCTTTTACGTAAGGTAAACAAACGTTGCCTATATAGTTATTGTCCTTAGAATTTTTTTCTGGGGAAAAGAAGAATGCATACTGTTGAGGGTTTTAAGTCTGTTGGAGGTGACGGAGTTGATGAGGTGCGGTGGATATGAGTTGTTAATTAAAGTTGTGCGGATGAGGGATAAGTTAGAGGGCCAAAATTGTTTGTCTGAGAGTAGGATGGCATGGTCGACTAAATTAATAATAGTGCCTATCTTCATGCTAGAAGGGTGGTAAGAATGATAATTTAAATACCTACCCGACCAAGTAGGTTTTTTGGAACCAATTGGTGATAATTCGATTGTCTGCGGTTTTTATAATTTTTACGTCTAAAAAGCTGATAGAATTTTCTTGTTCTTTTTCAAACGTAAAGGAAAGATGCTCATTAAATGAGTTAAAACTATGAAGTAAGAGTTCGAAATTTTTAACAG